ACAGTGACATTATATTCAAAGCAGCTGAAGTAAATGAGTACCAGTTATTATAGTGCCATGTACATAAAGGAACATAAATAAATGTTGTTTGATAATGATAATGAATCTCTGTTCAGAATTATGCCAGGGACACAGCGAGCATTCAATAAATATTAAATCAAACATTTTCAATTTCATTTTCTAAAAGGTACTTCTGGTAACCAAGATTTTTACCACCAACAAAAAATATTCAAGTGACTAATGTTGAGCTGTGCAAGGTGCTAAACAAAAGAAATATAAGAACTAGCCACTTACATCTTACTGGTCAAAATTTAAGCCATATGTTCACATTTATGACATTACACTTCTACATGAACAAAAAGTATATCATACACATCCCACAGAAAAGCATAGTTTTAGCATAGGTGATGAAGATAAATATATAATCGGGATAAAGATCAGAGAAAGTGGCCATAAAGGTTTCATGTCCAGACTAGGCAAAGCTTGAAGATGCAGTAAATTATTGTGATTGCCATAAGAAGCCTTCATGAAGATGATGGGATTTCAGCAGTGTCTTACATGATAAAAGGAAAAGGGGAGACTTAGAAGTCTAGAGTAAGAAGCATATTCCATTCCTACAATGCCATTTAGTGAAGTTTCAGAAGTCAGGATGGGACATGGGAGTCCAAAGAAATGACAAAGAGATGGGCCTGAAATGAATATGGGAGAGGGCAGCTAGGTGGCACAGTGGCCCTGGAGTCAGGAGGACCTGAGTTCAAGTCTGGGCTCAGACACATAACACTTAACTAGCTGTGTGACCCTGGGCAAGTCACTTAACCCCACTGCCTAGCCCAAAAAAAAAAAAATGAATATGGGACACGAAAGGGAATAGGAAGTGATGAGGAACCTGAAATAATCTCAGCTATACTGTAAATGATAAATCTGCATTTGATTTCAAGAAGGGAAAGCCATAGAAAAATAGTTTCAGATTGCATCTCTTACCTTATTGCACAAAATAATTCCAAGTGGATAAACATTATGAAAAATAATAAAATATATTATAATTAGAGAAACATTTGTAACTAGATAAAAGGATAGAAGATACCAGAAATGGCAAAATGATTATCTCAATTACATAAAATTGAAAAGTTTTCACACATTACAAAACCAATGCAGATACAATCAAAAGTTAATGGACTTAGGGAAAAAATGTCTTTGCAAGAAATAGCTCTGATAAAAATGTAACATCCAAAAATGTACAATGAAGACATAAAATTAAGAATTATTCTCCAGTAGAAAAGCAGTCAATGGAGTCAGCCAAAAATATACAAACTATCAAGCACCAGAGAAAGTGTTCAAAAATCAGTAAGAGAATTTTTTTTGATTGAGCTATCACTGCACAAAAATCAGCCATCGAAGATGCTAAAAGAAAAAGAAATCTCATCATGAGAGGAGCTGTGGAAAAGCAGGACCAGTAATTCACTGATAATGAATTTATCCAACCATTCTAGAAAACAACTTGGAATTATTGAAGAAAAGATTCTAAATTGTTCCTACCCCTAGATCCAGGGAGTCTTCTATTGGGAAATATATTCCAAGAAGGTAACCAACAAAAAGCAACACTCATATGTACAAAAATATTCCCAGCAGCATTATCTGTGAAAACAAAAAGCTAAAAACAAAATAAATACCCAACAACTGAGAAATGGCTGAACAAAGTGTGCCATAAGGAATGATAAATATGAAGAATTTAGGGAAATATATGGCTTGTATGAAGTATTAGAGAATAAAGGAAGCAGAAAGAAACAAAAGAAAACAATATACTATGATAGCAATGTAAATAAAATCAAAATTGAAAGACAACAAAACTCTGGTCAAATACAACAGTCAATGGAAATACATTTTGTCAAAGTTAAAGGAAATATCCTTTCTGTTAAGAACTGATACTTTTGCGGGGGAGAAGGGAGAAAATTCCTTCATACAGGACTTTATCAGGGTTTTTGTTGGGAAGTATTTGTGGTGTCAAAACAAAATGTAGGAAATAAAAAAAAAATAATAATGAAAGAAGAGGAAGCCATTACAAAGCTTTAATGAAATGAAATAGCACGATCAAAGCCACAGAAAGACCAAGTCATTTTGGCTGGGCTAGCAAGGATAGACTGGAAAGCACTGGTGCTGAAAATCTGGTATGAAAAAGGTGTAACAGTTCAGGCAAGAAATAACAAGCTCCAATACTAAGCTAGGGATGATATAGAAAAAGTAGAAACAGGAAATACCACGCGAAAACGAAGTGGTCAGATTAAGCAGCTAAGTCAAAGGCAGAAATGAGTCCGAAAGACTTTGGAGGTTTATAACATTGAATGAATGTATAACGGCACTGACAGTGAAGTTGGCTACGGAAAAAAGTAATGCAAGTTTGATGAGAAGCTTCTTCTTCATCAATGTCAACAAAACCTCCAATTTGAGATATGTATGAGACACAGAGCTTCATGGGATTGAGGCAAGAGAATAAGCTAAAGGGTTGACATATATTTATGTATCATCCAGGTATAGATAGTCGAGTCAATGAGAGCAAACTGAGGAACAAGGTGACTCATTGGTGAGAAAGAGATTGATATCATCATCAAACAAGACACTATAAGACATGCAAAAATATGAGTCAAGTTAGATTCTCTTTCAAATAGATAAATAACTGATGAAAAATCATTCTAGCTCATTGCTTATTAAAAGAATCATAAAAGGATGTCAGGGACCCATTTATACAATCTGATGGCTGGTCTGTACTATACTATTTTCAAAGTAACTAAACATGGAGCCACTAATCCATATATAAGGATCCCTGTCAGAGGATAGTGACTTAGTTTTAAAATACCTTATTTACGTGTTATTGTATTTTTATTTATTTCACTAAATATTCCCCAATTATATTTTAATCTAGTTCTGGCCTGCCCAGGAGAGTTGCCACCGTCTATGTGTTTGAACCTCTTTCTTAGAGGATTTAATATAGTTTCCTAGCCATATCTGAGAAGAATCAGTGTTTGAGAAGTGTATTGAGAAGTCAGTCCTAGGCTTTCTATCACTCAGGGATTCCAGTACTCTTTTCCTTTAGTATCATTTCTATTTTTTAAAATTGCTCCTTTTTGTAGAGCTGTAATGATATAGAATCACATAAGCCAAGATTTGCAAGGAATTTTAGACGTCATTTGATGGAAGTTAGGTGGTGCACTGCTGGGCATGGAGTCAGGAAGACACGATTTCAAATCTGGCCTCAGACACTTACTAGCTGACAAGACTGATGTAACAAAACAACAACGCAAACAGACTACTAAAGTTATTCAGATAATTAATCCCTGTACACTGAATGACATAACCGAAAATAATTTAGTTGAATAAGTGCTGATTGTTTCTAAGAGATTAGAGAATAATGCTAAACAATACAACAGTGAAATAAATGCTTCCAGAATAACTCAAATCCAAGCTTTTAACAGGAAAATAAAAAATCAACTATACAGCAAATATACGATTTATACCATTTTGCGAAGAATGATTTATGAAAATGTTGCAGATGGAAATATCTGAACAGAAAGTTACATCATCAAAGCGGCTCACAACCAGAAACCATCAAGTCTTTGCTTCATGCTGAATTGCTCGTGACGTTTCATTCAAATGCTGCTCTATTCAGAAGCAAGCCTGACTTTGTGATTTCTCACTTTAGCTCTTAACTGACGTGCACTGATAACATGCTTACTTTACCAGCTAGAGAGATGTCATCCATTTTGTCAGATTATTTATTTACAACATGTGAAAATTGCTGCTGTTTATTCTTCGTCTCAAAGAGGACCATGACACTAGGGAGGTGATGCCATGACGTGCAAGTGAATTAGATTTAAGTCAGGGAGAGCTGTGCAAGGTCACCAGCCTCACTTTCTCCTCTGGAGGCATTTGGGTCCAGTGGCCAGATATAGATCAGGACAACAGGACATGGTCCAGGATGCACTGGGGGACCTGGGCCTTTTCAAGCTAAGGTCTTCAACTTGTCTCAGTCTGACTGAGGCAAAGCCCATTCAGTGATTAAGGCTTAAAAAAGAAATGAGGCAAAGAACAGCCTCTTTAAAAAAAAATAGATCTCGGAGGGGAAGACCCTCAGGGTTTCTGGCCAAAACGGAAACAATTGCTATTTATATTCATTCTGAGCCAATCAGGGCCCAAACAATGACCAAGTAGGGCTTGGTCAGTTGGCAACATGGGAAAATTAATACAGTGGCCAAAGTTCTGAAATAATATCACATCACAAGGATCTAGAAACAAGTGATCATAACCACTCTTAATTAGTTAGGTTTCCAAAATAATGAATCAGGTTTCAGAAATTGTCATTATGAAATTGTTAAACGCCCACCATTCCTATCTCCAGTAGATTCTGCATGATTCTAGGAGTTCTCTTGGTAGAAGCCTGGTGAATAATGAGAACAGGGCTATTTCTGGTACTCATTATGCCACAAACTAGTGACATTGACCACAGGCAAGTCAATCTCCCTTTCTGGATTTCAGACTCTTTGTAAAATGAAGAGGTTGGCTTAGATGATCTATGACTCTTCAATTTTTGTGTTTGGTTTTTGCAGCATGTGAAGGATAAATGAACAAATACTATGTTCTGTATTTTATCAGAGATAAATTCTGTCAAATAGAAGACCACACACACACAGACAGACACACACACACACACACACACACGACACAGTCCCTTCCAACTCTATCATTGTATGATTCTAAAGTGATGGGTTTCAGTTGACATGTAAAAAACTAAGTTTCATAACTGGCCCTGTTCTTTGCAAACATTTTTAATGTCATTTTTACTCAATGACAGTTATGATATTACCTTTTTCTATGTTCTTAAAAAAGCAAACCATTTATCTATGTAATTTATGCCAGATTCTCTCAGCCATAACAAGTTCAGAAATCTCACTTCACTGAGGTTTAGTAATGCCTGAATTTGAAATTTAATGAAAGCAGGTTTTACTTACAGTTACGAATGTTATTCCAATCAACTTTTGAGAAAAATGGATGGCAACAAAGACCTTCATAATTCAGCCTTTCTTTTGGTCCACACAGCAGACTCTGAATCAGATCAAGAAATTCACTGCTAACTTTGGGGCTATCTGGAAACTTCAGAAACCGCTGTTTTCAAAGGAAAAAAAATATCGTAATGATGATTCTACTTATCTTAACCCTAAACTAAGTTACTACCTTCCATTCATTCAGGTTTTATGAAATAAATAGATGTTCTGCACCATTCATTTCATAATGAACAAAAAGGCATCCTTCCCAAAATAAATGGCCTCTTCACATCATCAAATTTTTTTTTTCTAAACCCGACACTGATAATCACATGAGGAGGACATTTTCACAAGAATGAATCAAGAACAGCTTCGGCAAAACTGACGTATCAGAACATTGCGCCTTCTGAAAGGATGGATGTCTTCTTGCTTATATCAAGCATTCAAAGGCTTTCTAATGTTAACTACCTTTTTTTTTCTTTGCCAAGTAAAATGTAAAACTGTACTGTCAATAATTCTTTACCTGGAAATTCATGATATTATTAAAAGTTTTTGCTGTGGTTCCCTCAGTAAAAGGTGATCTTCCATAAACCATTTCATAAGCAATGACTCCCAATGACCACCAGTCACATTCGGGCCCATGGAAGCCCTTGCCATCTCCATTCATCACTGTCAGGACTTCCGGTGCCATGTAATCAGGTGTCCCAACAGGAAGCTTGGAGTTCACCTAAGAAAACAATTTTTTAAAATTAGTATGACTCACGTACTTTTGGTGGAGTTGTGAACTAGCCCGACTATTCTGGAGAACAATTTGGAACTCTGGGGATTAAAATTGTCCATCCCACAATAAAAGAGACTGAGGCAGCGCTCTGAGCCAATGGCACTTTATTAAAGGGTCCATGGTCTCCTCTAATGAAGTGGACCTCAGATCTTCCTCACCATCTGAGATGTCCCCTTCTTCCAAGACCTTGTATTTATAGAGTATGATACCCAAATATATAAAAGAGGCATAGTGAAATACAGAATCTCATTGATTGATAGACCTTGCTCTTAAGGGACAAAAATGACAGATCAGTTTGAGGGGGGATGGGGTTTGAGGAGTTAGGTGAAGGTTGGATGAAGCATGGGGTATCTCTGCTGACTGGTCATAAGATGGTCACCTGCTTGTGTTAGACAAGAGAGAATGGTCCAGAGGTACAAAAATAAATTGGAGGACTTTTCACATAGTTGAGTCACCTTGATCACCACGACAAGGAAAAACAAGGGTAGAGGACTTCTAGTTACCTTCCTATGATTAAACAAATGAACTTACAATCTACAGCTCACAGTTCTAGGGCCAAATATACAGAACTTACAATCACTACCCCTATATCAAACTGATTGATACTGATTGGAATAGATTAGGGGTCCTCAATGAATCAACTTTCTCACCCTTACACCCAAAGGGCTATACACCTGCACACCCTTTGATCCAACAATACCACTACTAGATCTGTATCCCAAAGAGATCAAAGAAAAGGGAAAAGAACCTATCTGTACAAAAATATTTATAGCAAATCTTTTTTGGGGGGGCAAAGAATTGGAAATCAAGGGGATACCCATCAATAGGGGAATGGCTGAACAAGTTGCAGTATATGACTGTGATAGAAGACTATTGTGCTATAAGAAATGATGAGGGGAATGGTTTCAGAAAAACTTGGGAAGACATATATGAACTGATACAGAGTGAAGTGAACAGAACCAGGAGATCACTGTACAAAGTAACAGCAGTATATTAGGATGATCAACTGTGAAAGACTTAGCTACTCTGATCAAGACAATGATACAAGACAACTCTAAAGAACTCATGATGAAAAATGTTATCCACCTTCCAGAGAGAACTGATGAACTCTGAATGCAGATTGAAGGATTGTTTTTTACTTTATTTTTCTTGGTCTTTGTTTTCTTTTGCAACGTGGCTAATATGACTTGTATAATCAATATCACATTGTTTGCCTTCATAAGAAGTGGGGGAGGGGCAAGAAGGAAGGAGTGAATTTGGAACTCAAAATTATAATAAATGAATGTTTAAAAAATTGTTCCATGTAACTATGAAATATTTAACAAAATAAATAAATATATAATTTTAAAAATTAATGGCCATCTCATAATTATCCATGTAGAAATTCTCTATGTAGGAAAAAAAATGTCAACCTCAATCTGATTTACCTGTTATCCATTATATTTCCAAACCAACTTCTTTCAATTTATATAACTAATTTTATTATTATTCAAAACTATGCCAAGGCAAATAAAATCACATTGCATCTCAACAAAGATTTTTGGCTAATCTGTACCACGGCTTCACTCTAGTCATGCCACTAGCATAGTAATAAGGGCAAACACTGATTTTAAAATGTCAAAATGCTTTACGTGCACAATCTCCAATGGTGGGGACATATAACTCTGAGACCCTAGGAGGGAGGCAGTACAATCATCACTATGCCTACTTTGCAAATGAGGAAACTGAGACTCAAGAGAAATAGAGTGATTCGGCCATTCTGACCATTTCAAACCCTGGTCTCACTGCCCCAATAACAGCAGCCTCTCCCCTCCATCACTCTGCCTCTCCACAGTCAACAGGTATTTTACCAGATATAATATCAGTGATGTGACTGAACTTCTCGTCGTGTTTATGAAAACAAACGATCCCAAATTGTCAAGATGGAGCTGAATGATCAATCTTCACATATTATTGACAAACTGACAAAACACCTGGCACACACTCTATGTTAACAGGTTTTGAAAACTACATAACCGAAAGTGATGTCATTATTTTCAATATTCTCACTAAGCTGCCACTATTATCAATCATAAACAACAAAAAAGACCTACATGCACACAGATAAATGTTTGCTAAAGGCAAAACTGTATAGTCAGAGAAGTGTCTCCTCAGACTCCTTTCTTTAACTCTTCTCTACCCTTCAAGAATTCAGTACCTTTACCCTCTATCAAAACAAGAAAGGATCTGACACACAATTCATTGACTGACCACACAGCCATGGACATCATTCAGTGTCACCTCAATCAGGCAATTTGCATTTTAATCTTTTGATCTCTGCTAGCAGGCTCTGTGCCCTACTAAAAGATATTCAGAGATCAACAAGTAAGTGGTCACACACGTTTTTATTATGTATAAATACATCTGAAGGTAAGAAAAAATATCACACTATGCCTACTGAAAAATCTGACCCTAAAGGTAGATTTACTCATCTTAGGAAGTAACCCAAGGTCTCTTTGCCCAAGCTTGACTACGGCCTATTGGGCTACTGGCCTATTCCCAGAAGGTACAAAAGGTAAAGGAGATATGACCTAATGTTTCTTTCAACATTCGGAGCCTGCTCAATTAAGAGACATTTGGAATCCATTTGGATTCGGCAGCAAGTTCCACCCCTCCACCTTCCTCAGAAGGCAGATCATTCTTCCATAACCCAGTGTCATAGAAGAAATTCAGCAGAGAGTTCAATTTGGAGAGGAATTCTCTATGGATAGTCAGGTCCTCCAGCTGCTCCTATTCATAGATGACATCACGCTGTATTTTCTTTGTCCAGTAATCAGCAAGCAGACGCTGTACTGGAGGAACTGAACCACATTCCTATCAACACTCTTGCTAAAGATGAAACCAGAAGGCATGACAAAGTCACTGCTAAATAAAAAGACAGCTTGTAGGTTCTCTTTGGAGAAGTAAAAATAGAAATGGGCAAAAGACATTTTATCCTAGGCCCAAAGGAACAAGAAACATCATTTCACTGGATTCTTGGTCATCACTTTGTGGTGTTCACAATGAACACAAAGAAAGAGATCGTCAGGAACATCACTGCAGCTTACGTGCCAACACACAAACCATAAAGAACGAAATAATGGAGAAATCCTGCAAAAACCCTGACAAGATTTCCTAAACTAAGTTTACACATATTTTGAGGCTGACAGTATGCAGACAGAAGGCTTAGAGGGCTCAAAGCTGCACATCACGAACACTTTCTTCAGGAAGAAAGTTGGGAGGTGGTAGACATAGTGAGCATGAAATGATACCACAAAAAAAAAAAAAAAATTAAATTGACCATACTGTCTCTGACACGGATCAATTCAAGTCAACTAAGAAAAGTGCCTTCTATGGGTCAGGCACCGTGTACAAGAAAAAGCAACAAGGAGGTCCCTGCCTTCAGGGACCTTACATTCTAACAGGCAAGATGGCAACAAGGTATATAGAGCATAGATGGAAGGCACCTGGAGAGCCCATCAGCCTGGTATCTGAGAGCTGGCAAAGAGCTTTACACTTACGAGCTCATCTGATCATCCACTCCATCTCAAAGAGGAAGTAACTGACTATGGACATCACAGTCATTTCAGAATCATCTGTCTGTTCAGAGTCAGATCATCTACTGTTTAGAAGACGGATCACAGACTAGAGGTGGAAGGGACTTTAAAGGCCATCTAATCTAACCCCCCCAATTTTCAGATGAAAAAACTGAGGCCCACAGAGCTTTACTTGTTTACGTCGTAAGTGGCAGAGCCAAGATTCGAACTCAGGCCCCCTGACTTTCAATTCAGTGCCCCAAGTTCATCCGTCTCTGCCTCGCACCATGCTGCTTCTCCAATGTTGACTTAACTTTTACCAAATCCCATCGCCTTTTCCCTCTCTCAGTTCCTCTTACTTCTTGAACTTGCTCCTCCCCTGCAACCTTCTCTCACAGAAAACAGAAGGAAAATCTAGACGTGGAAATTTCCATCTTTAAATTTCCCTCAATTTCCCCTAAACTTCTCCAAATCAGTACCAATCGCCTTCGGAATTTCCTTCTCCTTACTGAGCTGATTTTGTCTCTCTCCATCGCTCCCCAGCAGATGCTGGAGGATCAGGCTGGGGGATTCTCGGCTCTTGGCTAGATGATTTCTCAGTTCTGTTCCAATTCTATGATTCCAAGAAAAATTCTGTAATAAAAACCTGTACTAAATTGTAACCTTGGCTTAACGCAGTAGACTTCTTTCCTTCATCTTGCTAAGTATCATCTCCACCTCCTCAAACAGCCCGTTGGACAATGAGGCATACAAAGTACAAATGCACAAGCCCACTACCATCAATGCCAGGCAGAGATCACGAGAGCAACGCTGTTGCCGTCCTGCTAGTTTTATCTATAAATGCTATTGGGATAATACGCTTACCTTGGATCTCCTGACAAGCTTACTACAGGCTCACTCTGCTCAGCTGCTTTTTGCTGAGTTGCTTTTTTTTTTTTTAAATATGAAATTTTAATCATTTAATAAGGATAAAATATAGAGTCCAACATGAGTCCAAGAAGTCAAACGCCCAAGTCCAGAGTGGGCAAGCCACGGCTAGATTACAGTCCAGTGGGAAAGAAAAAAACTGAGTGACAAACTCAATACCAATTAGCAGAGACACAGCAGTCAAACAGTCTTGGGCTTTATCAACAGTGAAGACATCCAGGACGAGGGAGACCCTAATCCTACTGCACTGTGCCCTAGTTAGACCACAGCTGGCGTGCTGCGTTAAGTGCTGGCCATGACATTTTAGGAAGGGCACTGACTGTAAGTCTTGCAGCAGAAGCTTTTTTTCTGCTGGTTGAGATGAAGGCACTCCTGGCCAGCCCCGGACTAGACTAGATTAAGTCTGTGTTCTCTTCCAGCTCAGACTCTTTCAGTGCCTGGGGCAATCATCCAATGACTGCAGAACTACAGACCCTGCAGCAGTTCCATCAGCCCACCTCCCCTTCTTGCTTGCAAGCTTTTGCTACTATCTCCTTCCATGTGTTTTAATCTGTCATCACATTAAGTTTGTTTCAAATTACAAAAATAAAGTTTTATTGATCTTTCGTTTTTGTATTATCTACTGAGAGAAATGATGATTAAATAACCAATTATTGGGGAGATCCAGGATTTTTTTCCTTTTTCTATTTCCTCATTCAAAGTTCAGTTTTTCAAGGAGATCCCTGACCCTGCCCAAAATTTTACCCCACCTAAACCATCTTATCTAGGTGGCGTTGTTGCTCCACCCAACCAGAAAACCTTACAAAGAATTTAATCTAAGATGAACCCCTCATTACAACAGGTCCACCTCTCATTATAATATTCATTCTCTTATTAACTGTTAACCTATCAGAATTGATTACTACCCCAACAGGAACACCCACTCTTCCAAGGGCACATAAACATCAAGAAGCCGCCACGATCCATCTTTGGCTTAGAAGAGACAGCCAAATGATCCTTTCATTAATCATCCACTAACAATAATTAATAAAATGACTAATTACTCAGAAAGGACGTCTCTCAAACTTTTCGTTTGTCACACTACATTACTCTGTTTCCTTCCTTTCTCCCACTTCCAGAAAATTAGCCCTTATTAGAATAAAAAAAGGAAAAAAAAAAACCCCAACAAAACTAACCAGCTTCGAGGCCAACATCACAGTCAGTGTTCCACATCCAGCCCCCCATCTCTGCAAAGAAGCAGAAAGTCTTTCCACATCACTTCTTGAGGCCAGGCTTGGCCAGTATAATTTCATAGCCCTCGGTTCGTTTTTGTTGTTGTTCTTTCCAATTACACCATTGTAGTCATTATATGCAACATTTCCTAGTTGTGGTGACTTCACTTTGCATCAGTTCATATGTCTTCCCATGGTCCCATGGTAATATTGCATTACATTCATGTGACCACAACTCTATAATATTGCAAAATTATAAAAGACTTCTTATAAACTAAACTATAGAGAAAATTCTAACTATTCTTTGATTATCAACATCGAAGAGGCATGAAAGAGGAAGGATAGAAGCTCACCAAAAGTGCTGACCACCAATAGGTACCCAGATTACAAATGGAAAATGATTATCAATAGATGGCGAGATCCTCCAAATGTTCTATTTGTCAATGGCACTGTGCTGACCATGTCAAGCCCCACAGGGATTTCTCAGTGGGATCCAAAATTAATCAAAAGATATCAGCCTAGTAATCCACAAAGAAAAACATAACAAATGAACCAGTACCGTGACGTGCAGGTTGTACTGAGTCAGTATAACTGTGTGTGTATGTATGTGTGTGTGACAAATACTACATATTAATTACATCTGACAAAATGCGCAGTGCTTTCCATAATCCTAAAACGCTCACTGAATACAAAAAATACATTTGTCTAACATCAATATTCTTCTAATGATTCTAATGGCTAGAGTCACGGAATATCATGTTCTCCAGAGAATCCAAATTGCATATGCCCCAAAAGGCACTAGAAACATATTATGTGCATAAGTAGGATGAGACACATGATTAATGCCTTGCTAGCAAGAAATGGTGTCAAAGACATCACTAAGAAAATAAATACATAGTAGAAGAAGAAAGTAGGCCAGCAATGTAGCGAAAAGTGAGGAATAAAAGATAACCTGAATACTGCACTAGTAACTATAAGTTATTAGAAGTCCAAATAGTGGCCAGCGCACTGGCCCTGGAGTCAAGAGGACCTGAGCTCAAATCTGGCCTCAGACACTATGGAGGAATTACATGAGAGCCCACGGATAAAAATCACATGAAATGACAAATGAATCAGCTGTGATGTGTACTAGTGGAAGGAGTACTCATTGATGAGATGACGTACTCAACAAAGTAAGCACATCAAACTAGACCATGACTGTGAACCTTCACGTCCTAAGAGTTTAGGTACCTTCAGTTGATATGCCTTGTGTTATTTGATGTAAAGAAAACCACAGAGTCTGAATGCAGATCAAAGCATATTATTTGCTTTCTCTCTTTTTTGTTTGCTTGTTTCTTCTTCCTTGTGGTCTCTCTCACTGGTTCTAATTCTTCTTTACAACATGACTAATGTGAAAATAGGTTCAATATGAATCTAGATGTAGAGTCTATATCAAATTGTATGCCGTCTTGGGACGGGGGGATGGGAGAAATGGGGAGAAAATTTGGAACTCAAAATCTCACAGAAGTGAATGTTTGTATGTTGAAAACTAAAAATAAATTAATTAATTAAAAAAAACACAGTGAAAGTATAAGCAAAAGCAATGTTCTAAAGCAGAAAGGAAATGTGAATTATAAACAAATAAGCATTTTTTTTCTTAAGCAAACCACCCAAATTTCTCCCCCAAGTTTTTCTAAATTCATCACCACGTTATTTGTAGTCATTCTGGCAGCTGCTCCAAAGTCTACCAGCTTAATATGGCCCATCCGGTCAATGAGAACGTTCTCTGGTTTGATGTCTCTGTGGGAAAGGCAAACACAAACACTCAAAAACCACGGCTATGCTCTGAACCAATGAGAAATGCTCATACTGAGCTGTCAACTCCGTCAAGCATCTAAGTGTATGTTTTTAGAGATCTAAGTGCAATGAATCATTTTTGAAATATGAGCACATATTTTTGAAGTACAGATTAAAGCAAAAGGAAATGTTGGGGAAAATATGATATAATTGTAGTATTTCAAGTGTCAGAAAAAAACCTACCGCCTCATTTGACAGATAAAGAAACTAAGGCCCAGTCAATAAATGACTCGCCTAAGGCCACACAGGATAAAGAGCTCACAATCCAGCGCCTATTCTCCTCTGCCATGCTGCCTCCCACAGATGTGCAGAAGAGAATGAATACATGTTGGAGGAGGAAAATCTGATAACACCAGGAAGGATAGCATTCTATTCCACCAGATACCTTTAATTCCTTATTGGCACAGTAGTAAACAAACTCCCTGTTCTTCTAGAGCTCTTCTGATCTCCTTAAAGCCGAGTTACCTGCACCTCGTCCTTCCATTTTTCTCCTCTACAACCCAAAGAGCCTTTATCAAGGTTGGGCTGTCAAGCCTTCTGCTCTAGATACAGCTCCCCTTCCGTATGGTTCCTCTTGTCAAGGTACCCATCACTCTACAAAGTTTACTTTTATCCAGCTGCCTGTAAGATTGCTTCAGAATTGGAGTGTACACTCATTTGATGCACAAATAATTTAATGCACTGATTTCTTACAGGACAAATTTTCACTGAGCTACTACAGAATACTCACTCACCGATGGACATATCCCATCTGATGAACACTGTGAATGGCCAATACCAGTTCAGCGAGATAAAACTCCATCATGCTTTCATCTAATTGATCCTCATAGCGATTCAAGAGTGACAGCAGGTCCCCTCCAGGCAGATATTCCATAACCTGCAGAGAATGACAAAACTGTTCAATCACATACAACCACTAGAATTCCTAAATTAAGTCCTCAAACGAAGTCTTTGACATAATACAGTTCTTTCATAAAGCAATCAAGATGTGTGTGGCATTTTAAAGATCAAATCTCTTTAAAAATACACCTTTCTAACAGCCTGAGTATGATATATTCAAAAAAATTATTAATGTGATTTTTAGAAATTACACAAATGTATTTAAAAGTACCTGAGGATAAAGTAAAAGCAGTCATCAGCCTAGATTAGCAATAATGATGAGGAAGAGGAAGAAATCTGAGTTCTCTAGTTCTTATTAATAACTTCACATTTTTAATAGCTCCTAATAAGCATTTACTAAATGCCTACTGTGTGCCAGGCACTGTGCTAAGTAAGGTCTGGGGATAAAGAAAGGCAAAAGACAGTCCCAGCCCTCAGGGAGCTCAGTCTAAGGGGGAAGCCCACACACAGAGAAGCTCTAAGTATCACCAGAAGAGGCAGCAGATCACCGTGGACAGAAGGCTGGCCTGGGTCAGGAAGACTCAGGGTTGAATAATGCCACTGCCACATACTAGATGTGTGATCATGGGAGAGTCACATAACCTCTAAGTGCCCCAGGAAACTCTCTAATACAAATTATGGACAAAATGCTAGTATACATGAGTGGAGAAAGTTTCCACATCAGGAATTCCTTATACCAATGAAATAACAGTCTGCCCATGCCTCAGTTATGAGGCAATACTGGGCCTGAGGCAGGAAGTCCAGAATTCAAATCCAGCCCCAGACACTTACTAGAAGCATAATCCCGGGCAAGTCATTTAACCTCTGTCTGCCTCAGTTTCCTCAACTATAAAATGGAGATAATAACAGTAACTGCCTCCCAGAGTTGATAAGAGGATAAACTGAAATAGTATTTGTTCATAAGAGGTACTTGATAAATGTGTGCTTCTTCCTCCTTGTCCACACAAAAAATATACACATATTTACAAAGCAATGTCCTCACAACTCTATAGAGTAGATAGTACAAGCATTAATATTATTATCCTCATTTTACAAATGAAGAACCCATTCCAAAATGTGGAGTGATAAGCCTGTTGCCCCCCACAGTTGCAAGAATCTACAACACAGCCAATCCAGTCCAAGTCATCTGACTTCAAGTCCAACAATATTTTCACCACCACTTTTTTCACTTTTGCCATTTTTAGGAGGTGGGTAGACAGGCACCTCCATATTCCCCACAGTAAGATGCAAGAGCTACAAGGCTAGGCATTGAAAATAGGATCCAGTAGTTGGCCCATTGCCATTCTTTCTACCTACCCCACTGCCATATGTCTGCTGTATTTCTATATGAGTGCTAGTCCCCATAGAGGGAAATGCTGGGGTATAAGCTCCAAGATGCCAAGTTTGGTCCTTGCTTATTTAGATGAAGTCAAACTTAAGCTGGCCCCAACCGAACCCATGGCAACCCCATTAAGTCTGGCCTAATATTAAAGCAAATCTCTATGCCAAAGACCCCAGAGAGTCAATCAGTTCTAGAGCCAACAACAGGTGCTACAGCAGTTTAGGGAGAACAATCTGATCAGAAAGAAGACCTAGAACATAGTAGACAATCCCTGATCTCAAGGAGCTCTATAAAACTTTACAAAGACCTTTATAAACGTTTGCTCACTTAAATGAAGACAGAATTTTCCCTGGTATCTGTCAAAATGTCAAATAAATATAAGGTCCACTTTCAGCTCTAGGTGTATGACCCTATGACTTAAGAAGCATCTCAACTGTAGATGCTATTGATACATCAATATTTATAGTCCAAAGATCAAAAAAAAAAAAAATGTCCTTCTCCTCAAGGTGCTTATATCCTATCAAGAGCTTATTACTCTATCCAATGTATAATACTATTGATGGAAGAACAGTCTATTACAGGGGGCTTCCTCTGTCCCTCACATCCACAAGAGATCTCATCTCAGTCCTATAGCACCCACCGGCCAAAATAAATCTCACTTACTTATCAGACTCAGTTCTGACCTGCAGGTAAAGAACATGTGGGTAAATGTATTTTAAATATATATGCTGAAGGGCAGGTAGGTGGTGCAGTGGATAGAGCACTGGCCCTAGAGTCAGAAGGACCTGAGTTCAAATCCGGCCTCAGACCAAACACTTGACACTAGCTATGTGAACTTGGGCAAGTCACTTAACCCCAATTGCCTAAAAAATAAATAAATAGATAAATAAATATGCTGATATTCAAGTGTTCTAAACATCCAAAAAAAAAAAAAAAAGGAAATTCACAAATAAAGAATTCATACTTTAAAAACTCAGGCTTCTAAAAATAAAAACTATTTATACATGATGACATATCATAATTATGTTTTCCACTCTGCTTGTATTAAAAGATATGATAATACACAGAATCTCTAGTAAGGTAATGATTCTGGAATGCTGGGATAGTCAGCCATAGCTGCTAGAATGGTTTCCTTTATGAGTTTAAAAACTGACCATTAAAAGTTATACTCCATCCAAGAGTGGGAAACCTGCGGCCTTAAGGCCACCTGTGTCCTTCCGAACCCTAAACTGCGACCTTTTGACTGAATCCAAATTTTACAGAACAAATCCTTTGAAGGCTACATGTTCCCCACCCCTGCTCCATACCTTATCCTGAACCTATACTAAGTACTAATACTAACACACACTTCCTTCAAAGAGAAATACATCTTCTGAGAGACATAAAAGAGAAATGCACCATTATTTTTCCAGGGGACTGTAGGTCTAACCATGTCACTGATTTGTTATTGCAGTTTCAGACTCCTAGCAGAGTGCATCCCCGCAGAAAACAAGCTGCAGACACCAAAGCATCTACTTCCACGAAAGCAAGCCTCACGTTATGTGGAGCAAATGTGGAAATACCTAGTGATTTTCACTTACATCATCTAACCAAAATTCATTCTAGCCAAAAATTTCAGTGGTCACGTTAGCAAAACTCTGCTCTGGGCTACTAAGCAAATTACTTTAACCCCCTGATTTCCAAAGGGTATATTATAGGAGCATTGCTGATAACCCCAGAGCGGATGATGCCTTTTGAACCACTGCCCATCCCCCAGAGTGAGAAAGACTTCAGTGGTGTTTCTGGGCTCATCAGCCTTTCCCTTGAAGTTACTCATGCTACAGGATTCAACAATGGACTGAGAAATGGGTGTCAAAAAGCACTTTCAGATATTGGGGAAATTGTGTAACTCTGTAGGGTACAAATATTGAACACACATACTCCCAGAATATCCCTACAACCTAACACTCAATGGATCATGGACTCCTAGGAAGAATCAGCACAGCAACAAAAAGTAACAAGATTAAAGCCACAAACCAATGTTCACCATGAAGACAACATGTACAGTCTAAGCGGTTTTGGTTTAGCGGTGGGGGCGTGAGGGGGTATTTTTTTAACAAAAATGCAGAGTGGAAAGTTGTCCTTAAATTCTATATTTAGATACTGTCCAACAATTCACAGTGATTAATAAGTTCAACATATATGTATTAAGTACCTACTATGTGTAAGACACTGTAAAAGATGTTGGAGATATCCCCCCAAATAAGATAAAGATGACCAAATCAAGAAGACCAGCATGTCCTACGGGAAGCTAGCAGTACGTGGTGCCAAAGCAGCAAACTCCAGGCCAATGCTCTGTAATGGGTCATGCTAACCTTGCACAGCTGGTAAACCAGGCATCATCACAGATGCCAAGTCTGGCTTCTTCGGCCACTCCATCAGTGTCACCGACAAGCCTTACTGAGCATTAAAGTCAGGGCGTGCCAAGCACTGCGCTCAGCACTTCACAAATGTTACCTCATTCGATCCTCTGGGTGAGGGAAGTAAGTGTGTCCTGCCACAAGATCATCAACAAACAAGGCCAAGCCTGCTGAAAAACAATGCCCATCACAACACTGTGCCAGGCCGCAGAAACAAGACAACAGCGGGGTCCTGTGATCCCCAAGAGGGTGACCACCAGCAGGAATGGCAGGACTGCCAGAGCTGAAAGGGACTTTGGGGCCCCCTAATTTCAAGGAGGATGGAACTCAACCCTGTTGATTCTGCCTTGCTCTTTTCTCTAATCCCGGCCATTCCCCTTTGTTCCTACTGTCCCCAGGCGCTGTCTTCTGCCTCAAGCTTTTCTTCATTTGTTTTCTTTTCCCACACAAAATCTTTTTTCTACCAAAACCTCAGAGCAACCTACTCTCTTTCTTAAGCATATTTTCTTCCCCCATTCCTCCCAGTAATGGTTCCTTAAACAGAAAACAGCAGAACTCTGGGCTGAGCTCCCATTCTGATTTTTAATCATCAATGCTTTTAACATCTCAGTTTCTACATTTTTCAAAAAGGACTGGCCCTTGCTTCTCCTTAGTTCAGAGAGATGCTGCAGGGGCAAATGAGAAAACTATTTTCAATTAAATACAGTATTAAGCAATATGGTATATAACTGGAGATCACTGAGAAACCCCAGCAGGTTGACAAACCAGCCTGTCATGCAGCTAGCTTCTTGTAACGGACTTGCTCTTTTTGGAGCACACTTCCGACTGGTTCTTTCAAACAGCAGCTGTAGATACTAATAAAAGGGCAAATTTTGCATGTGCTCAGGGTGAGTAAGACTGCAGATCCTAAGCTGATGCTTCCGACCACACCCAAGCACATGGAAAGGAATTTCACCAAAAGCATCTTTGAAAAGGAAGGATTAACTGTGTGGGTACCAGGAAGAACTAATCAAATATAAATGGTATTCATGATAAGAACCATGATAAGTACTTATGTGAGAACTGGTGATTCCACTATTTCCAGCACACCCTCTGAAACTGGTCACAGTCCTCCTTTGCCACAGCTGCTATTTCTCAGTGAGGAGGGAGAGCATTTCAGGCATACGGCTGCCATTGTCAAGTACAAGACACAGATAGAAGGCAGGAGTTCCTAGATCACAGAATCCACTAACTCTATTTCCCCAATTAGTGAGGCCA